CTTGGTTGGGCTCTGTCTGTGGTTTCTGAGGGCCTGGCGGCCCCGCTGGCATTGAGATGAGTGGTGGTCTTGCCAACCTGCCACAGTCAGTCAAGCCAGTTACCAGTAGTTTGTGAATTAGTCAGATGAGAGTTTGGAGAGGATTCTAACCAGAGCTGTGTTCAAAAGACAGCCATGACGAAGGCATAGACTCTCAAGCCAGTTACCAGCAGTTTGTGAATTAGTCAGATGAGAGTTTGGAGAGGATTCTAACCAGAGCTGTGTTCAAAAGACAGCCATGACGAAGGCATAGACTCATTGACGTGTGGGGATGCAGGAGGCTGTGGCTTGACTGGCCAGCATTTTCCAAAGCATCTAACTCGGCCATGAGAGTCACAGGGAGGTTAACAGGATCCCGCCCATTAGTATCTCATAATTTAAAAAACCAGAAGTAAAGGACAAATTTGAGATTCTCTTCTAAACAGCATCACAAAAACTCTAAGGGACTAATTGCTAAGCATTTTCCAAATGCAGCTGCATTTGGAAATCAGTTCGCTGAGCATCAGTTTCCTCATCCTTGTTATCATGGCGATAATGACACTCACTTGGCAGGTTGCTCAGAGTGTGAAGAAGGTCATGAATTCAGCAGTATTTAGCCCAGTACATAGAAGACCTCAGAGATCTTATTTCCTGTCTCTGTCTAAGCTTTCCACTTATTTTTTTTTAACTTCTTGTAAGCCAACAAATTACCCTTATTTGTAACCTCTTTGTGAATTTATTTCAGACTGACTGGATGGCGTCTAAGGAGCCCCACTTGCGTTGTTTGAGTACTAAGTTGTTAACTAAAGAGCCAGCAGGCTGGACCCCCCAGGTACTCTGCAGGAAGAAGACAGGCAATGCTCCCTATCTGCAGTCTTTGAAACCCTCCAGGGCAGTTCTACTCTGTCCTTCAGGGTCATTCTGAGTCAGAACTGACTAAAGGGCAGTGCAGTTTGAGGAGCACGAGGGTGGGAGCTGGGACGACATCAGGGGAATATGTCTGCAGTGAAGGCTGTTAATAGCTTAGAGGAGAGTAGACAGACACTCAGACCCAATGGGCAGAAAATATCATCAACACTGAGAATGAATCCCCACCCCATAGGGGCAGCTGTAGGAACAGTTCTCAAGGCTCAAGTGGCGGCTTTCCTCCCATAAAGTGTGAGGAACAGATGGAGCCCCAAGTTAAAACACGGCAGAGATTCATAATCATGAAAAAGGGGATTCAGCATCTGACTCCAGGGGAAACGCACTAGATTAAGAGTCAGAGGGGTTTGAACTTAATTTGTAACATTTGATCATGTGAATTTCTTGATCTGTAAATCCAGGGAGCTAATGCAGCAGGTTAAGTGTTTAACACTTTTAACAGTTAATGAGTTATGTCTGCCTTGAGCAGTGCACTCTATCAAATTTATCTATGTGGGATCACAGCATCCCCAGGGACTGGAGGGGGACCTGGGCCAATGGGGTCATGGTGGTAGATGATTTTGAGGGAGAGAGTGAGAAAGGAACAATTGGAGGAGTATAGACAATGGTGCTGAACTAGATGTGCACAATTTGTTGAAGAGTGCATTCTTTATTGTGTATATGTTTACAAAACAAAGTTGATATATATTTCTGTGTGTGTATATATACACAGAGTGAGCACTTTGGTGGCCTATCCTAGGAAGCGGCACTGCTAAACCAAGGCATTCTGGCAGTTTGAATCCACTAGCAGCACCTTGGAAGAAAGATGGACAATCTCCTCGAGTATGATTTTAAAAACTCAAACACACTGCTGTTGAAGTAGAACTAACTCATAACTGACCCTCTACAAGGTTTCCAAGGCTAGAAATTGCATGGAAGGAGATTGCCCATCTTTCTCCCAATAAGTCAGGATCACCAGAGAAGTGCCAATGTTCGATTAGTAAAGCAGCTTCCTCTGAACTATATCATCAGAGCTCCCTCTGATGTAATTTACAGCTTATAAAAACACACTACAGGGTCAGCTGTGGGTGGGTTTTGACTTGACAGCGACGAGAAATATATAAATGGCAGGTGTTTGGGCACGTGGACTTTAGCCTCTGTTGTCTAGTATATGCGATACCCACTCTAAAAGTCACCAAATGTGACAAAGTCACAAGTCCCAGGGACACAGCCCATGTGGCCAAAATATATTTTATTGAGACACAGTCATTACAGCACATTGGGAAAACTCAATTTTCACAAATGTCACATTTACAAATCCAAATCACATTTGCTGTCAGGTGCAGAGGGCACTCGGGGAGGGGAAAAGTAGGGTGCTGGCACCTCTTTGCGCAGAGACACAGAAGCTGAGGAACCAGCAAAGGGTTCCCCCCAGTCAAGGCTCCTCTCTGAGACTTGGCAGTATTTCATTCTTACTCTTATCCCTTAGGGGATCAAAGGGAAGTTGAGAGCATGGAGCTGGAGAGCAGGACAAGCATCCAGCATCCCTGCTGGCTGTTCCTATTTTAACTCATGGAGTTTCTATATCATCATTAAGAAATTAATTCTGAAGGGAGCTTTGGTGGCCTAGTGGCAAGAAGGTGCACTGCAATCCCAGAGGTACTCGGTTCAAATCCACCACATGCTCTGCTGGAAAAGGAGGGACAATCTCCTCCTGTACCAGTCAGATCTGATTTGATGGTACACACATAATAAATAATAAATTAAAAAAAAAGAATTCTACAGAACACAGGAGGCAACAAGGACCGGCTAAGTCCCTTTGGCACAGGAGCTATTTGTCCTAAAAAATCCACTTGGGGATTGCTGCCCTCTTAGAAGGTGTTCTGGTGGTGGGGTGCATTGTATTAGGCCACGAACCAAAAAGCCAGCCATTCAAATCCTTGGGAGAAAGATGAGCAGTCTCCTTCCTTAAATATTCCTGAAGTGTTGGTGTGAGTCAGAATCAGCTTGACTGTAGTTGAGTTTTTTGGTGGGTAGGTTCAGAAGAAGTCCTAGATGATATACACAGTTACATGCTCAACCATTGATCCGAAGATTAGAGATCTGAACCCACCTAAAATGACATAGAAGAGAGGTCGGGCAAACTGCTTCCGAAAGGTCACAGCTTTGAAAACGCTGCAGGACAGTTCTATTCTGCACACACAAATCAGAACTGAACCTGCCACAACTAACAACAGACTTGTCTTGGAATGCTCCCTCTGTCCCGGGAAAGCCACTTCTTTTCCTCATGTTCAGAAAGTGATTGCTAAAAATGTGAAAAATTCCAAACTTCCTCATAAACCGAGAGAATAGTAAAGAGTTTATTCACCTGGGAAAACAGCTGGTGTGGCCTTGCTCAGCTCAACTAATAGACAAGATAGCCTAGTGGGCCTTGGACAGATTCCTTCCCTTTCAAATCTCTGTGTCCTGCTCAGCTCTGTATCTGTTTCGCACCATGCTTTAGATAGTGTGAAAAGGAAACCGAAAACCAGCACGGGAGCAATGACTGTTTAGGGCTGGTGAGATACACTCCTTCTGCCCACTACATCTGTCTTCTGGGTAACACGGTAAGTTACTCCGGACCCAATGGAAAGTGATGAAAGCATTCATCTCTGCAATAAGATTTCTCTGGCAATGAGTCCTTGAGGGATATCAGGATTTCATGGGTTTCTGTAAGTGGCACATTAAGCTCTGACAGCTCAGGCGCCAAGGTGGTCTTGTTAATGAATCTCCTTTCAGGAACTGGCTCGAAGAAGCCTTATTATTCAGACATGACAGAGAAATGACCTGTCTAGACAGCTTGGGTGCGTGATGTGTCTAAGCACAATTATTTCTCGCCTGTTGGAAGCCTGCTCTTGCATCTTCTGTGAAAGCAGAACCATTTTTACCTCCTCTTGTTTCCCAGCGACTGTGGGGGAGATGGAAGTGCACCTCCTGTCTGAGCTTTCTTCCTCAGATACCATGATGGTCGCATTCCTAAGGGAATCCTTCAGCCAAGACCCTGGGTGCTGGACAGGCACAGGTGGGACCTTGTTCTATTCAGACAGTCTTTACTGCACAAGTTCTCTGCTGTTTTCCTGTTTCTTGCTTGTCATTAAAATCAATATAGAAAGATGTAGTTTAGAAGAAAAATAAGTAAATATATACACACACACATACATGCTCTACGCTCTACACACACATATACATGCTCTACACTCTGCACAAATAGAAGGGGGACATTGCAAGTAAATCCAGAGCATGTTAATAGACATTATCACAAGCGGGTGGAGTATGGGGTGATTATTATGCATTTTTAGGCTTTCCCTCTCCTTCGTTTTCCAAAGTTTTGCTAGTAATTTCTTATGGTATGAAAAAATACAGTCATTTTTCTTTCAGATCACCACATGGTTGTGATTGATCCCGGTCCAACTACTTGAGAAAGTAACACTTGGGAACTTCCAGGCCAACTTGGCCTTGCTAACCTTTCCCTGACCATGAACAGTCTGAGTCGAGTTCTGCATATCTGGGCCAGCACATTAAATGCACCCCCTACCCTGGCCTGGACTCCAGTTGCACTGCAATGACTGACTTAGTTCCCATCTGATTTGCGGACAGCCTCAATTTATTCTCAGTTCTTTTGCCTGTGGGACCAGGATGATACCCCATGCAGCATTTCTTAGACAGTAGTTTATAACCATGTGTCTAGCTGATAGCTGGTAGAGAGATGTGGTGATGCTGGCTTGCTAATCCGATGACTTGCTTCTCTGGTGGTTTGAATTTAGGTCCCTGTGAGAAAATGGGCCTTGGTAATCCAATGGAGGGTCAGGTGTGAATTGGTGCTGACTTACTAGCAATGAAGTTGAATTGTTGCATATGCTTTTTACATCAGGGCTGGGAAGCTGGACAGAGTGTTCTAGAAATTCAAGAGTCCACCAGGTAGCTTCCACGTGAACTTTTTTCCGGCACTGTTACAGTTGCGTGTGAGAAGACCACTTTCCCAGGTCCTTTTCCAATCTCAGCGGGAGACTCAGCCCTGCCCCTGTTGCTCCCCACCTCCCCTAATTGACAGCCACAATGGGCTCCACAGACAACAGATCTGTCTTCCCAGACTGGAGATGTGAGGAGGGCAAGAGGGGGGCCCTCCGGCCATTGCCCTTCTCAGTCCAAGCCACCCGGAAAGAAGGAACAGGGGAGGGCGGCCTGTCCTCCGGAGGCTTGGGCAGCCTTTGGCACATGCTCAGTAATGCCTTCAGCTCGACGCGGAAGTTCTCGTTGAGCCAGCAGTAAATGAAGGGGTTGTAGCAGGTACTGCTCATGGCGAACCAGTGGAAGGCAAAGTAGATGGCATTGTTGGTGCGGATGACCTTGCTGGACAGCAGGAGGACGTAGCAGTTAAGGGGGAACCAGCAGAGGGCAAAAAGGACCACCACCAGCATCAGCATCTTGATGGTCTTCTTCTTCTTACGCCGTAGAGCCAGGTACTGCTCCGTGGTCACGTCACCGATGGTGTTGCACAACCACAGCTTCTTGGCCACTCGTGCGTAGGCCACTGAGATGATGAGGAGAGGGAGGATGTAGAGCAGGATGAAGGTGGCCAGGTCCAGGTACTTCCAGAAGAGGTCAGCTGGCTCAGGGAAGTCTGGCAGGCACAGGGAGCGGACGATGTCCTCACTGGGAAGAGGGAGAGAGAGAGACGAAGGTATGAGTGTGGGAAGGTGTCATCCCAACAGGCACTGGCTCTCCCTCCACTAGGCTCTTGGCACACCCCTCTGACATAGCACATTTTAGGCTGGAGTCTAATTTTCTGATTGTGTCATGATTTGGGGCTCCTCCACCAGGCTGAGAGCTCAGAGTATGAGGAATATTCTGATGCCCTTGTAGCCTAACATCACCTCAAGTTCATAGCTGTTAGTTGCTGAATCACCTCCAGTGCACAACAGAGTAAGACAGTGCTTTATCCTGCAACATCCTGCGATGGGTTATTGAGTCATACAGTTTTCATTGCTTCATTCTATTTTTGAAGCACATAATCAGGCATTTCTTCCTAGTATGTCTTTGTCTGGAAACCAGTTCAGTGTCAGCGAGGTCCCCATTATTTGTATGTCCTCTGAAAGATGGGAGGTGACTGCATGAGATGCATTAGAATTGTATCTAGGTCCTTATGCTGTTGCTGAGTTAACCCTGACTCATAACAACCCTCTGTGCAAATTAGCCTGGCTAGCCCTGTGCCATCCTCACAATGTCTGCTATGCATAAGCAGAGCAGCCAAGTCAAACCATCTCGTTGATCCTCTTCATTGAAGGCGAGAATGTGACCACTGAGCCACCACTGCCCTCCTTTCTCACCACAAAGCACAACTCAGCTGTGGAACTGGTTCCGATGCCCAGCTGACCCTCCCTCAGGTTTCTGGGGTTGTAAATGGCACAGGATTAAAATTCCCCATCTTTCTCTCTCAGAGCCACTGGCAGGTTTGAACTGTGTACCTTTGTGCTGGCATTGCAATTCCATACTGAAGAGCTATGATGTCAGTTTGAAGACTAAAGTGAGCCCGATCCAGGCCATAGTCTTCTCAATCACCTGTTACACATTCGAGACCTGGACAATGAATAAGCGTGACAGAAGAAGAATTGATGCCTTTGACTTGTGGTGTTGGAGAATATACTTTGGACATGAAGAGGCTACTCCTTGGAGAGGGACATCATGCTTGGAAAGATGGAGGGTTAGCAAAATAGAGGAAGACCCCAATGAGATGGAATCACACAATCAGAGATGATGAGGATGGTACAGGATAGGGCAGGGCTCAGGGAGGCTGTTCAAGCATTGCTGTGAGTCATACTCAACTTGACAGCACTTAACAATAACAACAAGCCACAAGAGCTCCTATTCTAGTCAATAGCAAAACTAAGAGGCCAAACTCATTGCTGTCAAGTTGGTCCTTCCATTGGGTTTCCAAAGCTGAAATCTTTATGAGAGGAGACAGCCTATCTTTCTCCCCAAAATTGACTGGTTGAACTGCCAAATTTTTGGTTAGAAGCTCAGTACATTACATATCACACCAACATGACTCCTTAGTCTATGGCAGAGACCCAATAAATGAAGGAGATGCTAGTATTCCTAATCTAAGAACTAGCCCATCTTTGCACTATCCTGGATTCATGACACTTGGAATTCTCCTAGAATGACTGACTTTTTAAGTCTTAAGAAAGAAAGAGGAATGGGATGAAGAAATAATGGGCTCTGAGAATGGCATGTCACAAAGCCTGAACTAACCTATTATTTGCACCTCCTGCCATATGTTTAACAAGTATTTCTTTTATATGGAAATCCTCTTACATTTTGCCTTTATTTTGAGATATCCACATGGCTGGATTCTTTCATATGTCCTGGTGGACATAAAGAAGTTATCTTTGTTTCTTTTAGCAGCAAAAAAAAGTGAGTGTTCTATGTTTGAATGCTGGCAAGGAGTTTAAATGTTTGGAGCCCTTGGTATGTGATTCATTCTAGTGTCCAAAAATTTGGAGAAAGAACATTTATCAATTAATTAAAATCATTATTGAGTTTAAATAAGCCTTCAAAGTCACTATCTTTTGGCCCTTTTAAGGTCACTGAGGAATTTCTGGGTGATGCAAACAGTTAACATAATTACTTGCTAACCAGAAGGTTGGTAATTTAAGTGGAATAAAGACATGGCGGTCTGCTTCTGAAGAACCAGCTAATTTCAACCCTGTGGATCACAGTTCCACTCTGGTAAAATGCAGTCTCCAGGACCACTGGTTACTAACACAGGTTACTATCTCTGTGTGTGCTGCCGGCAGGGTACCAGCTGGCTGCTGAAGAAGATGATAGTGGTGCGTCATCTGCATCTCAGATTGTTTTTCTAAGCTGGAGGACCAGTTTTTCAACTCCTGTAACTGATGGAGCCTGTGATCTGCTGAAGGAGCCTTCGTGGTACAGTGGTTAACTTCTTTACTGCTAAATGAAAGGTTGATAATTCAAAGCCACAGCTGCCCTGTAGGAAACTACTATGGCAATCTGCTCCTGGAAAAGATTATAGTTGAGAAAACCCTCGGGGCAGTTCTACTCTGTTAGGTACAGTCATTGTTTAGTCCAAGTTGACTTGACAGCACACAAAAATAAAAATCCCCAGGAAGCCAAATCCAATCTCCCCGGCTTTCACAGAAGCCAGAGTGGGGCCTGGAGCTACTGCCTTAAAGATGAAGGAATACAAAAGTCCTCAAAGTGGGCAAATCTGGTGTTATCCTTCATGCTCCAGCATGTCCTTGGGTCAGGCTGTGCCTTCAGCTACAATTACACTCTTCCTGGGTCAATGAATCACTTACACAGGTTGCCTTATCTCAGGGTCTGCTTCTAAGGAATTCCTCTAAAAACCAGTCTAAGATGATGAAGCTCACTCTAGGCATAGTCATTATTAGATCAGGAAACCTGGAATGAGGGTTTAATCATGTACAGTCAGCTAGGTGTCTGGGAGCCAGTAGTGGCAAAATCAGAAATGAGGCCAGCTCTCCCTAAACGTGCAGACTAGCAAAGAAGTCTGCCTTGAATTAACTGGTAGCACATATGAGGGTTTAAAATTTAAAAATGGAATGCAAGCAAGAATTCTCATTGTGTGAGAACACAGTAATAAGGAACTGCCTTAGAATATGGCAGGGGGTTGTTGTGACAGAATCCTACCTTAGATATGGACACACATACATTTCTTTTAGTAAGTTTTGTGACAGAATTTACCTTACAACCTCTGGTTTATTCCAGTTCAGCACCTGAGATACTATATTTCACCCTAGAAATATGGAATCAAAATCTGTAGTTTATTAAGATCCCCAGGATAATATTATGATAAAATATAATATTATAATTAATATATACATTATTATACAGACAACAAGGTAATTAATTATTAACTATCAGAACAGTTAAAATGCAGATTGGCCTTCAGGCTGTCTGGAGTAAAAAGGCAAATTCTCAGCACAGAATCAAATAGAATGAACCAGTTCAAAACCCTGATTTAAACATTGCTCACTTTAAAACAAGAGAGCTCTGGTGGTCTAGTGGTAAGTAGCTGAGCTGCCATCCCAAAGGTACAGGGTTTGAATCCACCAGCTGCTCCGTAGGAGATTAGCAATCTCCTCTTTTTTATGCGATTAAACTGTCTCTGTAAACCCACTGGAGGTCAGCTACAAGTCTATTTCAACTTCACAGTATACAACAAACAACAATTTTTTTGAACAAAGGAGATCTGGTGACACATAACATGCCAGGCTGCCAACCTAAAGGTAGGGAGTTCAAATCCCTCAGTTGCTCCTCTGGAGAAAGATGATAAGACTATTTCCGTAAAGATCTATAGCCTCAGATATTCCATAGAAGGCTGCTGTTGTGAGTTGGAATAATCTCAAAAGCAGTGGGGAAGGGGAGCTCTGGTGGCCTAGTGGCAAGATGTTACACTGCAATCCCACAGATAATGTAGTTCGAATCCACCAGATCCTCTGCCGGAAAAGGAGGGGCAATCTCCTCCTGTACCAGTCAGATCCGATATGATGGTACACACACACCAAAAAGAATAAAATTTTAAATTTTTTTTTTTTAAAAAAATAGAAAAAGCAGTGGGGATTTGGTTGTGGATTTTGTCTTTTTAGACAAGGCCACAAAGATTTTAAATTGGGATCTGTGAGTGTACGCCCCCTAGTGACTGACGTCTATAACTGTTGCTTTGCCCTCTCCGAAAACCTGGAAAGAGCCTAACAAAGAAGCTAAAGTTGTTTCATTCCATGATTAAATCCTTGCTTTCCACAAAAGAGGCCTGAATTCAAGTCCGAGTTAATGGACCTCATGTGCAGACTTCACCCGTCTGTAAAGGTCCATGTGCTGATGCTGAACAGACAGGGCTTCCAGATTATTCAGACTAAGAGAGACTAGGGAGAAAGGCCTGGTGACCTTCAATAAACCAGCCAGTGGAAACCTTAAGGATCCGACAGGCCATGGGGATGGTGCAGAAGCAGACTGTATTTCATTCTGTCGTGTGTTGCCATGAGCCAGGAACCAATTTGACAGTCACTAAAAACAAAATAGTTGAGAAGAAGGAGGGTGGGGAGAAAAGTAGGTGAAAGGTACAGAAAGGCCAGGAAGCACCAAGAAGTGTCAAGTCCTGTCACAGAATGCATCTGAAAACTGTGCTGTGTCATTGATTCAGAGTCTGGCGCCTGACTCCACCCTTCAAAGTCCCCCATCAGACCTCACCTGTACTTGAAGGTAAATAATTTCTGGCAGATGGCATGAGGGAGTGAAAAGAACGTAGCCATAGTCCAGATGACAGCGATGTAGATGATACCTTTTGTGATTGAGATCCGGGGTTTCAGCGGATGCATGATGACCTGGAACACAAGCAAACCAAGCATTCCTGGCTGAAGACAGTTTGAAGCAAAGGAGAAATCCCAAGGACGCAACCCACCTGTCATGGCCCCCCAGGTCCTGCCTTGTGTTCATCATAACAAGACCCATCCCACCTTTCTTCAGGAGCTAGAGAAAGGGTGTCATCCAGACTCACAGTCTCCTCGTAGAATAAATGGTTTCTTCCTTTCCTTCTGCATTTGCTCTGACCCTTTTAAAAATAATTTCTGTTGCTGATTTTGAAAATCTACACAGCAGCACATGCACCAATTTAGTTTCTAAGTATGCAATTCAGTGACATTGCTCTGCATTCAAGTTGTGCAACAATTTGCATCTTTGTTTCCTCAATTGTTCCTGGACCATTAAGACAAACTCAGAGCCCCCAATCTTCCCATCTGACCTTTCAAGCTACTGTTGTTAATTAGATCCCTTGTAGCTAGTTCTTCAGAAGTGCACACTGTTCAAGGCAAACATTCTTTATGAAGTAAGCTAAACTAATATTTGGTTTAAGGAAGATTCCAAAGGACATATTTGGTGTGAAGTTTAAAGATTATTTCAGGCCCCCGTTTCAGGAGTTCATCCAGCCTCCATAGATCCATATGGTCTGGATTCCAGAAGAATCAAAGCCTCTTGTCAGTCACACTGAGGGAGAGACAGGCTGGAGGAAAATGACCCGAGAAGTGTCAGCTAGCATTGCACTGATGTCTGTGAGCTGAGCTCACCTGCCCGTAATCCCAGTCCTCCTAGATGTGAAGGCTTCCAACAGGGTCTGAGGCTGACATACATGAAAAGGGACGTCTCTTCACTTTCTGTGGGAAGCTGCACTGACACTCACTTGGATGTTCACAACACTATTCAAGAAAGCTGTATATAAAACTGCAATGGAGCCCAGCTGTCACATGCCTATAACAAAGCCAGGCTTCAGGCTGAAATTCATCTTGGAATTGCTACTATATATTCATTACGTCTCTTGAGGTTTAAATAAAGATTTGGGGTTTAAATAGCATTTTAATTTCAAGATTAGAATGTTACCTTTTTTTTTACTTTATTTTTTGTTGTTATTTTAAGTCTTTATATAGCATTCACCAATTCAACTGTTTCTATGTATACAGTGCACATTCTTTGATCATATCCTCTAAGCTGTGCAATCATTTTGCTCATCTTTCTACAACCACATTGTTCCCCATTAATATACACTCACTGTACCTAAGCTTCCTGTCTAACCTTTTGAGTTGCTAATAATTTGTTGCCATGTAGATAGGTCTTTTAAAAAGCACAATGCTCAGGGCAGGCTAGAATTGTTACATTTTTAAAAAGACTTTGGAGTAAGTGAGTCCAGGGCTGGGAAGAGAGTTCACAGAGGGCTGTCCTCCTCATGATGTCATTTCAAAATAGTGGGCAATTGGTTACAGTTTAGGATTTGGTTTTTCTCCCAATTCTTTTGAATGTTTGTGGGAGGAGGTGACGGATCTTTAGAAGCCCCTTCCAGCATGCCTTGCATCTGGATTTTGCCCTCTTTGTCCTTCATACTCCTCTGTACTGAGAACTGAAAGGGTAGTCACCTGGGTCATGGGTTCTAAACACCCCTCCAGGGCTCCATTGCCTTTGGTCAAGGATCTTAGTGCTCCATGTTCGTGTACATGTCACAGCAACATGGCCAACAGGGATAAGATTTACCCTTTGCCCTAGGGTCAATTTTCAATTGTGTTTAATAAGGACAAGCAAAGGCCAGGTAAGGATATTTAACCCTTGTTGGATGCTGTTGTTATAGCTGACCCTCTAGTGGGTTTTCAGAGGTTATAAATCCTACTGTGAGGAGATTACCCATCTTTCTCCTGCAGAGCTGGTGTTGCATTGCGGCTGTGTACTTTCAGGTTATCCATGCAAACTCCTTATCATGAAGCCACCAGAGCTCCCACCCTCATAGTGAAATGCAGAATAAAATCCATCTCTTTTTGTCCTAGTGGGCCTTACTAGACTGACCAGTAGGCTCTCTTGAATAGTCTCACATCAGGGCACTCTCGTGATCAGAACCTGGACTTAAGGTCAGAGAAACCACAGCCCTACTCTCATTTCACTGACCTAGAACAAGATCCATAGACACTTTTCTGAAGGTACATTCCATGATTGAGTGGGAGCCTGAGTATGCAAAATTAATTCATTTCATTAGCATATGCAAAGTGTAGAGTCATAAGCACTTCACATCCTTGATTCTGCTCACCAGGCCAGTTTAATGTGCTTCCAACAGGCCTGGGCAGCTGCTGCCATATCCCACTCTAACCTCCACTCTGGTCACCTGGACAACCAAGTCTTCTTTTCTCCGCTAAACTACAACAATCAACCACAGTCAACAATCTTCCTTTCCCAGTCAGGAGCCTATCTCTGACCCACAGGTTTTTTGCTTCTTTTTTTCATTATCAATTCCCCATGTTTGATTTTCTGTCCCCCAAACATCCTTCTGAAATAGAATATGCCAGAGTCAATCTGTAACATCAAATCTCTTTGCTGAAATGAAAAAGTGGGAAAAATTACTAGAACATCCTGAACAGAGGGTTAGCACTCCCTAACATAAGTGCTTATAGGGTGTGCTGCTGGTCTAGGGGTAAGAAGTTGTGCCATAAACCCAAAGGCATGCAGTTTGAACCCACCACCTTCTCTGAGAGAGAAAGATGTACAATCTCCTCTCTTGTGGTTTACTCCTTCTGAAAACCCTCTAGAGGTTAAACTGGAGTCAATTCTGATTCAATGGTACATAACAACAATCTAAGTGTTTATGACAATTGCACTGGGTGAAAAGGTGAGCTGAAACACTGTCACAAAAGACCCTGGGAATCCCTTGGAATGCAAAGCCAGGGCAGGAGCTATAGCACGTTAAGAGAGGTGCCCTTACCTGGTGGCGGTCCACAGCAATGGCCGTCAATGTCAGGGCTGAGACGTGCAGCGAGCAGTACTGGGCGAAGCGGCTGACGTGGCACATGCCCTTCCCGAACACCCACGTGCTGTTCACAAAGCGGACCTGGAGATGAGCCCCCAGAGGTCAGGAGATGTGTGGCTTTGGCCCTGACACTCAGCCCTCAATGGGAGACTTCCTCCACTTTCTCTGCCCATACCCCCTTCTTTTCCTTCTGTGCTGTAAACACTATGGGTCCCACACAGTCATTCTCTTGAACAAACATTGCTGCTATCACCAGGCCCTATGCGAGGTTCAGGGTGATCGTGGAAGGATGTGGGAAGGATGTGATTATGGAACTAAGCAAGCTGAAATTGTTAACAATTTCAATCTCTTCTCCTTCTATCATGATGCTGCCAGTTGGCTCAGTGGAGAGAATCTTTGTTTCCTTAATGTTCAGCTCCAATTCACAATCGAACACTATAGTTCTTGACCTTCTGCAGCAAGCACTTCAGGTCTTTTTTGGTTGTGGCAAGCAAGGTTGTGTCATCTGCATAACACAGGTTTTCAAGCAAAAGCATAAATTGTCAAAAATGAAATGTAACACATTAAGATTGACATCTCAGCATTGGTGAACTGAAATGTACTAGTACTGATAATTTTGAATCAGAAAATCAGATGGGAATAAGAAATTGAAGAAGAGCAGGCCATATTCATTGTCAAAAAATATTTCAAGGTCTATACTAAAGTAAAATGCTACAAGTATTGGACAATATCCAAATGCCAGCAAGGAAGACCACCCAACCCAAAAGGGCAAAAATAAATTGATTTTTAAATAAAGATTTTTATCAAGTTTTACAATTTGAAATTAATAAGCATGCAATCAAGTTGCACTCATAATTACTGGTGATTGGAAGGTACAATTTGGAAACAAAGGAAAAAGATTAGTTGTTAGAAAATACGGATTTTGGATGAAAGCAGAGAATGCCAGAAGAAAAAACATTTACCTGTTTTATTGACTATTATGAAGGTATTTGTGTATATAACAACAAATTATGGATAATATTACAATGAACAGAAATATCCAAACATTTTTGTTCATGTAGACTCTGTACATAGAACCACCACTGTCGTTCTAACAGAACAAAGTGATATCTTGTGGGTTAAAATCACAAAAAGTATGCACCCTATCCCAAACTCATTCAATTTATATGATGAGAGGGGGAAAAAAATCACATGAGAAGTGGACTATATGAATAAGTGTGGCTTCCTGATTGGATGGAGATTCTTAACATGCCACACAGAGTTTGTTATCAGAACAGTGTGCATCAAGATTATATCCCTTCATCATACTGATTCAATCTGTATATTGAGCACATAATCCAAGAAACTGAATTATAAGAAGAATGTGGTATCAGGATTAGAGAAAATTTTAGCAGCAACCTGTGACATGCGGATGACGCCAACTTGCTTGCTGAAAGTGAAGAGAACTTAAGTATTTACTGAAGAAGATCAAAGTCTACAGTCTTCTATACAGATTATACCACAACACAAAGAAAACAAAAATCCTTACAACTGGATCACTAAAGAATACCATGATAAAGGAAACAAAAGATTGAAGTTGTCAATGATTTTATTTTACTCAGATCCATCAACACCCGTGGTAGCAACAGACAAGAAATAAAACAAACAAACAAACAAACATATTGCATCAGGCAAATTTGCTAGCAAGGGCCTTTTGAAATTGTTAAAGAGCACAGATTTCAATTGAAAGACTAAGTACATCTAATCCAGGCCATGATATTTTCAATTGCTTTATATGAATGTGAAAGTTGGACAATGAAAGAGGCAAGATTTTCCTTAGAGGCAAGGATGGTGAGATCCTTTGTTATTGTTCATTGCCACCCAGTTGTTAGGTGCTGATGAGTCAAAAGTATGACTTATTGTGACTCAATGAACAATAGATTGGACCACTGTCCTATCCTGTACCATCCTCACACTTCCTGACACATTATAGCCCATTGTGTGAGTCACTATGTCAATCCACCTGGTTGAGGATCTTACTTTCTTTCTCAGACCCTCAACTTTTCTAAGCATAAAGTCCCTCTTCAAGAAACAGCCTCTCTTAGCAACCTGTAGTATGTGAGATGAAACGTCAACATCTTTGTCCCCAACAACCACTCTGAAAGCATTTTCTCTAAGACATATTTGTTTATTCTTTTGGCCATCCATAGAATATTCAATAATCTCCTCCAACACCAAAGCTTAAAGGTATCAATTCTTTTTCTGTCATCCTTATTCATTGTCCACTCCCAGATGCATAGCAAGTGATCAGAAAGACCATGGAAAGATTCAGATGCACCTTAGTTTTCAAACTGACAGCATCGCTGCTCAATACTTTAGAGAGGTCCCTGACTGCATACTTTATTTGCACATAATTTGGGCATATTTTCAAGAGACTCCCAGTCTCTGATAATGGGCATTATTCTTGAAAAGTGGAGAGTCAGCTAAGAACAGGCAGAGCCTCCATGAGACGGACTGAAACAGTGACTGCAACCATTGGCTTGAGCCTGGAGGAGATCATGAGGGAGGCACAGGATAAGGCACAAAGTTTGTATCTGTTGTTCACAGGGTCATTATGCCATGCGTTGTGAAGTGCTAGCTCCATGGCACCTAACAACACATCATAGGCAGTTAATACAAGTATTCTTGCTCAAAGTTAAGAAGATTCAAAGCAGGCACTAATGGAGATCAAAAACTTCAGTGTGTCCAAAACAACTATGAGATATCATCTCACCCCAGTAAGAATAGCAAAATTTAATAGAACAGAAAACAACAAATGCTGGCAAGGTTGTGGAGAAACTGGAACCCTTATTCACTGTTGGTGTGTGTATAAAATGATGTAGCCACTATAGAAGGCAGTATGGCCTTATTTCTCAAAAAGTTGCAAATAGAAATACCATTTCACCCAGAAATTCCACTACTTGGAATATACCCCAAAGAAACCATAACTGCCACTCAAGAAGATATATGCACATTCATGTTTATCACAGCTTTGTTCACAGTAGCAAAGAGTTGGAGACAACCTAAGTGCCCATCAACAAATGAATGGATAGAGAAGCTGTGGTATATTCACACAATGGAATGCTATGCTGCATTGAAAAACAAGGAACTCATGAAATATTATTAAAAATAGATGACCCTGGAGGACATTATGCTGAGTGAAATATCTCAGTCACAAAAGGACAAATATTGCATAGTGCCACTGTTGTAAAACAGGACTGACATAGGGGATAGGGAGGAGACCGAGAAAGATGTGATAAATTCTGTATATTGCATGGGAAAAGATGAGAGAGAGAACTGTTTAAAAGGTATCTGTGATTAGGTATTATTGTCATGACATGAGTCCGGAATGAAGGCTGCATAGTAGAGTGGACTTGGGGGGAAGGACTATATAACAATAAAAGAATTTTTCTTTTACTTTTCAAAGAGAAGAAAGAACGAAGAGGGGAGGGGTGGGCAGGGAGAAAAGTGTAACAATGAGTGAATGGAAATCCAAAATCTCTGTAAATTTTCATTAACATTAATAGTAATAATAATAAAGGGGAAAAAACTTTAGTGTGTCAACATAAAGGAGACAAAAATCCTTACAACTAGACCAGTAAGCAAGACCATGATGGACAAATCCGCTGTAAAAAGTCTCCCCTTAAATGTTAAATAGTGAAGAGTCATTTTAAGTTACTTTAAGGTGTGACTGACCCTTGGTATTTTCAATAACCTCATTTGCATATTAAAGCTGGAGGGAAAATATAAGGGAGAATCGGTGCCTTTAAATTATGGAGTTGGCAAAGAATATTGACTTTTTTTTTTTTTTTACCATCAAGAAAATAAGCCAGTCTGTCTTCTAAGGAACAAAACTCCTAAATGGAGAGACTCTGTCTCACATACTTAGGATGTGCTATCAGGAGGGACTGGTCCCAGTGGGGGGACTTCGTGCATAATAGAGGGTCAGTGAAAAAGGTGATGGCCCCAAATGAGCGGACCTGACACAGTGGCTGTGGGATAGCTTAAAAAGCAACAATTGTGAGGACGCTGCAACACTGGGCAATGATTGATTTAGTCGTACACAGGGTCACCACGAGGCAGAAGCAACGACAGTCCCCCACAACTGTGACAGCAGGTCTCGCTCGCCTCATGCACAAAATGCAGCTCATCCTTTGCATGAGGGAGATATGAAACTCAAACTACATAAACAGTGCATGCAGAGCAGCTCCTATGCTTACTGAGTACTTGACACTTAACTGTCATTATTTTACGGGACATGTGCATTGTGCTTTAAAATATGTAGGATTTGGACATGTGTGTAGAGTCAAATAAAGGACTTCTGCACCGGGTCAGAAATCTGCAGACCTATTGGAGTTCTGGTGGCCTAGTGGATAAGGAGTTGCACTGCCAACTCAAAGTCAGGTAGTTCGAGTCCACCGGGTGCTCCACAGAAGAAAAATGGACAATTTCCTCCTCTATGATATATAGCCTCTCAAAACTGCTGGAGGGTCAGCCATGAGTCTATTTGGGTTTGACGACAACGAGTTGGTTGTATTAGGGGAATTGGTTTGTGAGAATTAGTGAGTAACAATCTGAGCAGATGATGAAATGAGGACAGCAGGCCAGGACATTCTCTCTCACCGGGGAGGTGGAGAGGAGCCCCTGGGGGCTTTTCAGCAGTGCCAAAGTATCATAGAACTAGGAAACACAACTCCTCCTCTTTTTCATTTCTTACCTTCAGTCAACTACCAGACTCAAGCAGCTCTTCCTCTAAATGGTTTTCAAATCAGCTCCCTCTTAAACCCAATGACTATGCGCTTAGTTGAGTTCACCACAATCTCACTTGGATGGTTCCTGCCTTCTAACCTCCCCTTTCAATTTATCCTTTGCACTGCCGACAGCAATTTTTTCCTTAATAAAAAAATCCAATTATTGTCACCTTCCAGCTCAGAAGCGTCATTGGTTCCCTGTGGATGTAGGGACAAGGCCAGATGCCTTGCCCAAGTAGCAAGGCCCATCCTGACTCCAGCCTTCCTTTCTATACCCCTGTTCATTTGTCCCACTTCACTGTGTTCTACCCACACAGAGCCATTCAACATTTCCTCATCACACCGTGGACTTTAATGTCTCCTCACCTTGGCTCTCCAATCACCCTGCACTGACCTCCTGGTCTGTTCAAGATGAAGAGAGTTCATCATGACCTGGGAAATCCTGAACCACTCTTCAGTGGACACCCATGTCCTTTCTAAGCTCTCCTTTGACCTTCTTGTGGAATTCTGGCAGATCAGGATGAAACCTCTAGGTTCCAGCACACTCCGTGAATGTCTCTATCATTGAAAGTGTAAGTAATTATTTGCTTTTTTCTCAATGACCATAGCTAGTCAATGCTGATTGTCATGTGTAAAGTTATTATGAAGGGGAAGTATCATGGAAAGATACTGTCACCAACCAGTATCATGTGGGATGGCCCTGTGACGAGCAGGCTGAGAAATTAGGAGACATTTCTGCTCCTATAATTCTGGTTGCCACCATTTTGTAAAACCTAATAAGGGTTTGTATTAGGGCCGAAAGGTGTGTGCTTCAAATCTGCTCACTGCTATATGAGAGAAAAATGAGCAATCTTCTATGTGATTTACTGCCTCTGAAAACCCACTGGAGGATTGGCTATGAGTTGGTTCCAACTTGACTGTACATAACAGCAACAAGTTCTCAGAGTCAGTGATGTTCTCCACCCCCCAGGAATTTCTCTGGGGCAGGGTCACCAGCTCTTAGCTGCAGCCGAGCCTTGGGTCTGTGACTCCTTTCCCCAACTTCCATGTCTTGCTTGTGTCTGCTGCAGAGTGCAGTGTGCATTCTAACTCTGGGAAGATACTCAAAGGTCATTTCTAGCATCTTCCAGTCCCTTGTCTGAGTGAGCCAGCCTAACTTACCCTTGTAAGTTCTCAGGCCAGAAAGCAGAGTGGAACCAAGATGTAGACTTTTTATGCTTTAAGACAGTAATGGAGGTGTGCTGAATGGCCAGAGAATCCCAAGTAGCCACAACTAGGAAGGTCCACAAGGGCACAGGATATATACGGTTCAGTGCAGCAGAGACTGTGGTCCAACAACACCCACCCTTTGGATGGGATGCTTAGTGGGCAGACCCCTGATCTTGAGTCAGAGGATGTAACTGTGGTCCTGGCTTGACCATTGGCCCACTCTGTGCCTTCATTTCCTCGTTCACAAAATGTGAATAATCTTCTTCTAAATGATGACAAAATATGAGCCATGAGAGTACGTTTAAAATACAGGGTACAGAAGGACGTTCACAGGGGGCTTCACCTTCTTCATTTTGCTTCTCTTTTTTCTCTTGTGTGTTAGTAAGGAAGACAGATGAACAGATACAGCTTGTTTCAGTACTTACTCAAGTGACAAATTATATTATTTTAGAAATGAAAAAAATTAGATAGCCTGCCAAAAGAGCAAACAAGTCTATCTGGAGTGTGTCGTGGGTGTTCCTGAGAGGCAGGGCTGATGAAACTTCATCTCACATACTTTGGGTATGTTTTCAGGAGGGGCTAGTCCTTGGAAAAAGACATCATGCTGGGCAAGGTAGAAGGTCAGAGAAGGAGGGGAAGATTCTCAACAAGATGGACTGACAAGTGACTGGACAGTAGGCTATAGTCTATCAGAGGTGGTAAGGATGGCACAAGATAGGACAGGGTCAGATTCGTTGTTTATAAAGTTCGGTTCATAAAGTCAGCTGTAACAGACTCGATGGTACTACCTGACAACAACACAGAAATATGACATATAACTGTCATTAGGACTCCTTAGCCACAGCCCTCAAAGACCTTTCAGAACCACAGATGGAAAAACCTGCATGACAAATACAGAGCAAACAGGGTTTGTAGAAGAGGCTCGTTCACCACCTGTGAGCACATGTCCCTCCCCACTGCAACTTGGCAGCCCAAGCCCACCCACTCCCCAACACACACAGCTTCACTGGCACACTACAGAAGGGAAATTTAAAGATGTAATTTAAAGATGCTGTCTAGGACAACAGACTTCCATTCCACTAACAATTAGCAATTATTTATGATATTCTATCTGTGGCACAAAGCACCGTCTGGGGCGGGAGAGAAGAGTATTTCATGAGATGCACTTTGGGGAGAGAGGGTGAGCAGTCTTGGTGTCTTCAATGATCCAGTCATTGCTCAAGCACGCCCATGCAGAAAATGGTCATTCACTCACAACTGGCTCTGGCTAGTGCCTTCACTGACTCAGTGCCATTAGCTGTGTGCTGAAGCTTTGGCTGCAAAGGTGAGAAGAGACAGAGGACATGGAAAATATAAAAAACGGGAAGAGCCAGACAGAGAGGTGGTGACAGGGAGAGACCACAGAGGCAGAGAGAGAAACAGAGCGGGAAGCACTGACACTTCAGAGAGAGAAAGAGAACCAAGAGGCAAGAATGGTCCAGAGGGATGAACCCCAGAAAAGAGTAGAGAGTGAAGACATGAGAAAAACAAGAGAGGAGAGAGAGAGAGAGAGGCAGCAAAGACAGAAAGCCAAGCACACACTGGGATGGGAGTAGAGTCCGGGGAGACAGAAAAGAGATGCTGAAAAAGAGAATGACAGAGGAGGAAGGAGGGAAGCCGAAAACCAGGCAAAGAAGAGGAAGAATGGAGAGGTGACTGAGGCACTGAGAAAAGCAGCCAGTAGAGCGGAGGAGCCAGCCCAGACACGGTGGCAGGGGCCACGCCGGCCTTACCAAAGTGAAGGGCGTGTTGAGGAGCGTGATCATGATGTCCGCGACCGCCAGGTTGACGATGAAGAGGCTGGTGGCCGAGTGCATCCTCTGGTTCTTGAAGATGACATGACAGACCAGGACGTTCCCAAAGAGCGAGAAGACGATGATGAAGGAGTAAGCGACGATGAGCAGCGCCTTCACCGTGGGGTTCTGGGACTCGGCCCCGTAGCGTCTCCTGCCCACAAAGTTCTGCCAGTCAGAGAAGGTGTAGTTGTTCCAGGGGAAGAAGTGTGAGGCGTTGGGCGCGGCCAGCGTCGCCTCCAGGCTCAGGTTGTCCCCGTGGCTCCCGGCTTGCGCCCAGGGCAGGAGGCAGAGCAGCATGAAGTGGGGGAGCATTTTGCAGGGGCCACTGGTCGCAGGGGCGGTGGGCAGCAGCGTGCGCACGCGGAGAGGGAGCTCCGGGCGGAGCGCACGCAGCCGGAGCCCGTGTCCCCTGGGGCGATCGCACAGGAGCTCCCCTCACTCGGTGTCGGTTCAGCACTTTTATATCTCGCCGCCCCCGCCCCGCCCGGCTCCTAATGAGCGCCTCCGCCTATTGGGCGACAGTGACGCGCGCCCCCACCTCTGGCAAGCCTCACCCGCACCGCGAACGCCGCTCCCCCACCGCCAGCCTGGTCCCGTTTGCTTTCAGAAACAAAACTCTGGTGGGGCTGCAAGGGCTGTTTGTAGCAAACAAGAACATCCACTCGCTTGGTTGCAGCTTAAGTCTGTTTTACTGTGAAGGGAGCAGGTGGACAAGCCCCCCCCCCCCCCCCCGGGGCTCAGTTGGTGTTATGTTGGGTCATTACTTCAAAGGCTGGCCTCTACCTGATCCAGGTAGTCCTGTGGAGTGGCGATAATCAATTCCACTTGATCCTAGCAGGATTTCACTATGGATCACTTGAGAACTAGGCAAATAATAACAAAGAGCACTAAGATTTCTTTCTCCACCTCCCTGGAAGCTCAGAGATTTCAGAGGCGCTGGAAGATTTAGGGAATTTTGTTTCTTGCTTTTTAAATTACGGCTTCCAATATCTCTAACAGCCCCAGGAACACCATGTGGAGAGCTTGGTTTTTTGAGGAAATACTTTTTAAAGGCAGTTCTATTGACAGGCTTAAAGAAGAAAAAGAGACTGGGAATTTCCTTCTCTGTCTTCATACTTCTCCAGGAGCTGTGAGCCATTGAGTCACTGAAGTCATTGAAGCTGCATCTTGTTGTAGAGTATGGTGCTATCAGGCTGCGTTTTATTCTCCAGGAAATCTTGCCATCTCTCCGACCGGTTTTCATCTCTTACTGATAAGTGTCCCCACTCAGTTCCCTCCTGTCATTCTCCACCTGAATCCTGAAGTAAAGGTTCAGGAATCAGGGTTAAAACGTGCCTTTTAAGGGCTTGGAGAAAGGTGCTGCTCCATCAGGATGGCTTGACACCAGCACCGGGGGGTCAAGGCTGGAATGTGACAGTAATTTAGAAAATGAGATCAGAGTTAATTGAATAGTGTTCAGTGCTGAGAAAGAGGGATAGTCAGCATCAAGCCCAGAGAAGCAGTCAAAGTCAGGCTGGGGCTGCCCCAGGCACTCCCTTGGGAAGGTCCTCTACTGGGTTACCACAGAGACACGTGGTGAATTTCTTGCTCAGGGTGATCACTGTAGGTGCAAGGGCACTTATTCCAGATGCCTGAAATAGGAGCTGTTTTGGTTCTTGGATTTCCGCAGAAGCATACTATGAAACAAAGATTCCAGTGCTAGTGGAATCTGCCAGGTGAAAGAAAACAATTCCAACTGGGGAGTAGAGAATCAAGACAAAGGAAAGGAATGAAATTGTTATTAGCTTTGTCCCAACTCAGAGTAGGTAATTCTGAATGAACCTGTATTTTTTTTTTTCTTTAGATACTCTGTATTCTATTCTTTTTTTTTTT